GAGAGAGAGGGAGGGAGGGAGGGAAGACGATCGTTCGAAAAGGAAACATCGGGAGGAATGGAAATTGATAACATCTACGGGTGACAAAGAGAAGGGAGGGGAAGGAGGAAGACTAGAAATATAGACGAAACGTGGCAATTTTTCAACGGCGGATCGCCGGGACACGCGCGTCTTTTAATTTTCGCGCGAGCAAACAGCGGGGGCTTCGCGATAAACGTTAAAAGCCCGCGGCCGGGCGGATACAAATTCCGTGGCGCGAATAAATTTCGCGCCCGCCTCCGGGGAATAAAAGTTCTAAACGGGGAGGGGAGGGGGAGGGGGAGGGGAATAAAATGGATGAAACGGAACGAGCCTCACGATTTTTCGGCGTGAACTGAATTCTCCCCTTTTTGTTCATTCAACGAATTCGTGTAGTAGTATACTTTTTTTCCACTATGTTTCCATTTATTTATTTTTTTTTTCCCTTTTCTTTTTTTTTTTCTTTCTTTTTTTTTTTTTTTTTTTGTTATATGACAACAGTACGACCTGTTCCTGCTTCTTTGTAACAAAGAGAAAAAGAAGAAGAAAAAAGGGAGGGGGGGGGGGAAGACGAGAAAAAAAATTAATACTTTCTCTTTATCGTCATACTAGTAATCGCTCGTAATAGTTACAACGTGACACGCTTTCGATATATGAAAGAAAAGAAAAAAAAAAAAAAAAAAAGAAGCAAAAAATGAAAAAAGAAGAAAAAAAAAGAGAGAAAATAAAATGAAAACACACGCTGCTGCTTTCTTTCGCCATTATTTTTTTTTTTTTTTTTTCCTGTTTTTTTTGAGTCTCACACACGCAATTGAACCAAGCGATCGCCTGTTCACGCTTCTTTTTTTTTTTAATTTTTTTCCTTTTTCTTTTTCTTTTTTTTTTCTTTTTTTTTTTAAGATCTCTGCTCTTAAGTTACGCTGGCCGCAGCCTTAAATCTTAAGTAACAATTTTCGATATCTTTTATCATATACGCTATACAACTCTCACCTCTCTTTCTCACCTTCACACTCATTTCTATACGTTTCCACTCACTCTCTTCCATTTAGTGCTCGATGTCGTGTCCTTACGTGTATATATGTATATTTATATGTATATGTATAAGTATAAGTATAATAATAATAATAATAATAATGATAATAATAATAATAATAATAATAATGATAATAATAATAATAATAATAATAATAATAATAATATATTCTGAAAAGTAGATGATAAAAGTCTAAGCTCAATTTTGATTCGATATAATAGACAAGTCTGAACATGATTTATCAAACGTATCGAGCACCATGATCGCGACTCAAAAGAGAAAGGACACCCGGAGTTTCCAAATACGAAATCTATTTTGATCGGAAAGGAAAAACGATCGTGAAAAATCGATCGTCGTCGGATCGTGATTCGATGCATCGCTGATTGTACTTTTTCCATCTCTTTTTCTTGTTTTTTTTTCTTTATTATTATTTTTTTTTTCCCCGATCCGCTCTGTCATCTGTCGCGGAATAATAAGTACACACGAGAGTAAAGATAATAGCGCCTTTCAGATCCTGACCGAACGAATGGAAAATGGGATTCCGCACGCCATTTTCGAAAACGCTCTATTCCTCCTCGTCTCGAACGCGTCTCTACGTAGCGTATTGTCGCGATGATATAATAAAGCATTTTGCTTGCTTCGATCGTCGGTGTACAATGTTGGAAGGCCTTCGTTCGATTCGTGGTTAAATTTAAGTACTCTGCAAAATCGGCCTTTGCTCGTAAAACGAACGCGCAAGAAACGCTAACAAGTTTCGAGTCTCGATATTTTGATAATTTTTTTTTCCTCTCTCTCTTTTTCTTCTCCCTCTCCAAAGAATATATCTTAGAGAAACGTCGAGGAGGCGAAATATTCGGGAAAATTGCGTTTTTGAAAAATTGGGATTATCCGCGCGTCGCGTACGATATCCGCCGTTCGTCCGATAAGGCTGGAGAGAGAACGGTCGACGACGGAATCTTATCGCTATAAGTATACGAAGTACGAAGGCACAAGTTTGGGTGAAGAAGTAGATCCGTGGCTCGGCCACGAGAATCCGAGAACGAGAGCGTTATTCGATGGATAGAGATCCCTCGAACCCCTTAATAATTTTTTTCCTCGAACGAATTGAAACGAGAACGAAGGGATCGCGATTCCTTCTTCCTTTCCTCTGCTCCTTCCTTAATGCATCTCCTTGATTGAACACGAAGCACGCTGCTATCGCTAAGGCACGAAAAGTGGCCGATTATCCGTTTTAAAGTTTTCGTCCCTGATAGACACAATCGACACTTTATGGATTCGTATATATATATATATGATATATAGAGGGGGATAAAGGTAATAGAGGCGGATAAAAATCTATGTGTGTGTGTTTCGGAGTGGCAGAGAGAAGGAGGGTGGTGACTCGAGAGAGGGTGATGGAGGGAGGATGATACATACGTTCATACATTTTTCATGCGTCCGATACGGATGGAAGATGGTCGTCGGAGAAGAGGACATGGCTCGCGGCGTGCCATTTTTCAAAACACCTGTCGCCCATTGTTCGTATCGTTCGATCAATCCCCATAAATCGGCGGGGATAATATCTTTCCCGCGCCGTTCCTACTCCTTAATTCCGCGCGTATATCCCCCCCTCCCTCTCTTCGATATCTCCCACGAATCTTTCGTATCCTTCACGATTCCTTCCTTCGCCATCCACTCGGATGTGTCGTTTCGTATTCTCCTCGTCGACCGTCGATCGAAAACGAAGAATCGAATTCGAGGCGTCGAATCCGAATCGCGGCTGAACGTGGCTCGGGAAGAATTCTTCTTCTTCTTCTTCTTCTTCTTCGTCGTGTCGATTCGGATCGAGACCGATCACCGCGAGTTGCGTGGGGGAAAAAAACAAAACGAAACAAAACAAAGGAATCGAAGAACCGATCGTCCGCTAGATGGATCGTAAGGCGCGAATGCAAAGACGATCCGGTTTCGTCGATCGACGGTGCAGTTTCCGGTATTTCGAGGCCATCGCTCATCGGTTGTTCACGGAGAATAGCAAGCACCGTGAAAGAAAAGACGTCCAAGGTACGAACGAAGAAGAATCGTATCGACGAGATTACTATTAATGATTCGAGTCCGCTGCGAAAGATCCTCCTCCTCCTTCCTTTCGAGAGGGAGGCGCGCGAGAGGAGGAGGAGAGAAACGAAGAAATACACGGTTGAATAAAACTGGCGAGAGACTGTATCGTTGAACACTGTATCTGTGATAAAATTGGGGGAGGAACCGGGAGAGGGATGGTGAAGGAAGCATATCCGTCCGTGTGAAAATATACGAAAGCCCCGTTACGAGTGCCCCTCTCCTCTCTCGATCCACGGAGTCCAGGGGAAATAATATCATCTGCTCTGCGTCCGCTTGGCGGGGGGTTGATCCGTTCCTAGCTTCTTGGGGAGTCGATCGACGAGGAGGGGACGCTTGGGGACTCTCCTCCTCGTCTACTCCATCGCGGCCTCTTGGAGGGCGTGAAGATGGGCGTAGAGGCCATCCGCCGCGATCAGGTCGTCGTGGGTGCCCATCTCCGCGACGGTCCCCTTCTCCAGGACGCAGATCACGTCCGCGTTTCTTATTGTCGCCAGCCGATGAGCTATGGTGATGCAGGTCCTGCCTTCCATCGCTTTGTCCAGGGCCGCTTGCACCACCTGCGCGCAAAAAATAATACACTCGATATTTTCTTCTTCTTTCTCTTCGTTCTCGAATAATTCGAATACGAGAGATAAATAAACGAATATACGATACGACGAACGATACGATAGGACGATGATAGGCGCGAAGAGGATCGACACGATCGGGCGTTAAACAAGCACGCGGGGGTACAACGGGAGTCTATTTTGGCGCGGTGAGCGGCCAACAAAGAGGGGAATGCGATTGGCTGTAAGCAGCCGCGAAACAATAATTGGCGTGAAATTCGTTCGCCGCGAGAGAGCCGCTTTTCCGTCCGCGGGAACAACAATCGAGCATCCTCTCGCACCGTATTTCCGATTGTTTCCATAGATAATACTATCGCGTCGCTCCCCCGATTTCGAGGGGGATCGGCACACCAGCCTGGAACAATCGATCTTTCCCCGCTCTCGGGGAATTAAGCAGTCGAACCGAGATAATCGGCTAGGCGGGAGAGGCTTTCGTTCCATCGGAACGTCGATAGAGGAAAATAGAGCGAGGAGAGAAGGAAAATAAGACGGATCGTGATGGCGCGTGACAATTCCGTTTTCCCGCTTTTTCTTTATTTTCTTTATTATCTTTATTATTACCGCTCAAATTCCGTTCAAATAAGTTGATAGAATTGCATATTCAGCGAAATTCCGTGTTTTGATTTCTCTCGATGGTATTCTCTTAGAAGTCTTCCTTCGAATATATCTTTTTTGCCATTTGTGAGTGGCATTCTCTCCGTACAATTTGTTTTTTTTTTAACGTATCAATCGCTTCGTTTCCTTTCCAGTTTCGATGAGAAATTTAGAACGCATTAACGCGTTCTACTTTGAAAAGATCACGAAACATTTACATTTTTCGAGAAGTGAAAATTTAATCCGTTTATAGATAAGACTAGATCGGATAACGAAAAGAATCGTAGCTATTTATTTTATCGAAGAATAGATAATGTGGAAACGCGAGGGAAGTGGATATAATTACGTGTTATGATGAGCGTAGGAGTAACCGTTCGTTAACACTGAATTCTCGCAAATATATGAATTTTAATTTCGTTAAATTAACGCGTAAAGGTATATCAATTCTGCGATGCAAAGAGATAGAAATTTGGTCGTATCTTTCCTTCTTTTTTTTTTCCTTCTTTCTTTCTTTCTTTTTTCTTTTCCAACTGGTTCGGTTCACGCGTTTTTTGCCCGCGTATTGTTCATTAAAATCCATCAGGATCCATCAATATTCATCAGCTCGCGTACTCGCAACACTACGAGTTACTTGGTTAATTTACATTACCGAACCTGCGCTGTTATTCACATTCAACGTTCGCGAGAACAAAATATTTTGCAGCAACTTTGATGGCAGGGACGCGAAAATACACGAGGGCTGACGTAGTAAAATATCCGCGTGTAAAGTATCGGTTGGAAAATTGGATCATTTATGCAAAACGTTAAGTCAATCCGCTTCGTATCACTAATAATACTTGCGCGCGACGATAATATCGCGTGTAATGATATTTATGAGATCTAGTTGGAAGACACGATTCTTAACCGAGTAATTAACCAATTAACTGTCTCGAGCGGAGCATAAATTAAACTTTAACCGGGGAAGCGTGTTAAATTTTCCGTGTAAATTTTTTTCCCTTCGATTCGAAAGAAATAAGTTTCGAGAAAGTCGTGGTCTCTGGGGAGAATTCTCGAATTCGAGTCGAGTTCGAAAAGACGATCGATTCGATTTTTCCCGAGAATTAAGCGCACCATGAAATATTCCGTCGTGTAAACAAAACAATTTCAATTTTGTTGAAACGCGCTATTCGAGTGTACCGTAGTGAAAGATACGCGATAAAGGAATACAAAATTGCGTGGCTTTTGTGAAATTATTTTCGAGAATAGAATGTATTATAAATTATATTGTTTTCTCTGCTTTAACAAAGTGTACCGTCCCGTTTCCTTTTTCTTTTTTTCCGAATTTCTTTCCTGCACGAATGCACGAACGAGCACGAACAAATATTTTATGTAAGAAAGAAACAGCATTGAAAGTAAATAATAGCAGCGTAGAATTACAAACGTTATATTACGGACGTATATACGTCTTCGTCGTGTATAAAAATTCCAAACGCTTTGGAAGTTAAAATAAAGTTCTCGGCTATCGATTATCAATATCGATCGTAAAAATATCGTTCAAAAGTCTGTACATAATAAAAGTCGAGTAAAAATGACTGTTGCTTTTTTCATTTTCTTCGTTCCGAGTTATTATTGCGCCAACGTAAAAAAAAAAAAAAATAAGAACGCGTTATACAATCCACTTCGAAATTGACGCGTTAACATTTCCACTTATTTTTCTTCATCCTCGTACGATATCTTGATGAGACGAACGTATATTTATCGCACAACGATGTGTCATCCTCGTTCCGGATATTCCACGATCCAAAGAATATAATCGGAAGGGAGGGAAACAGTTGCGGCAAAGTTACGAGGCTGTTAATTGGCGACGAGCGGGGATGGAACAATGGGTCGGCGATGGGATGGAATCCTTTTGTCCACGCGAGAATTCCTTTCTCGCGCTTCTTCGGGAGGCGGTCATTTTTTTCGTCGCCTTTTCTGCCCGCCGTTAAAAAGTTCCACCGCGTATTATATTAAATGAATGAGCCACCACCCCCTATCTCTACCTCAACCCGATTTCACGACCCATTTTCTCCCGCGTTGCCCGCGGTGTTTCTCGCGCTTTTTCTCTCGTCGGCCCGAGTAGAAAATAGTTTTCGAGCGCGAAGAGGAACACGCGTGGTTGACCTCTTACCTTCTCGCTCTGAGTATCAAGAGCGGACGTGGCCTCGTCGAGTAGCAGGACTCGAGGATTTCTCACCAAAGCGCGCGCAATCGCGATACGTTGCTTCTGTCCTCCTGACAGCTGCGTGCCTTTCGAACCTAACCTAGTATCGTATCCCTGTAACAAAGGGTGGAATGTAGGATAAATTCGCGAGGGATGGATCATCCGTGCGGATGAGACGAATCGTAGCTTTCAACTTTTCACAATTGGAACATATATAAAAGTGATTGCAAATAGTGAGGCTTATGTATATAATGATATCGTATACTTGGCTCGATGTTTTACGTAAAAAAAAAAAAAAGAAAGAAGAAGAGTCGAGGAAAATGATGGCTTATCGGTGGCGCAATAATAAAGAATTATCCCCACTCACTAGCGGTAGAGAGCTGACGAAGCTGTGGATATTGGACTTCTTGGCGGCCTCTATGATCTCGTCCATGGCCACCAGCCGGAAATTGTCGCCGTAGGCGATGTTCTCCGCGATGGTACGGTCGAAGAGGACCGGCTCCTGGCCGACCACACCGAGCTGGGACCTCAAATTGCGCAACGAGACCGACGAGATGTCGCGCCTGTCCATCGTCACGGTGCCGGAGATCGGGTCGTATAGTCGTTGCAACAATTGGATGCAGGTCGATTTGCCGCATCCACTCTGGCCGACCAGGGCGACCATCTGGCCAGGCTTCACGATCAAGTTCAATCCCTGAAGAATTTGCATCTCGGGCCTCGTCGGGTAGTGGAACTCCACCTTGGAGAATTGTATCAGCCCGTCCGCCTTCTGCAATTTATTTATCGACCGTGTTATACTCTGACCTCTCCCGTGACCCGTCGAATTAACAGAGGGGAGGGAGGGACAGAAGAAAATTGATTCGAGGGAGCGCATAATAGGGTATTTGCTCGAGGAACGAGTTACACGTGACTGGCGTTCGCGAGTGGCGCGACTCTGGAAACTGTCGTTTATACGTATATCGCTTCATTAAACGGATTGGAATTCTGCGGGGATAGTCGGAAACCTCGATCAAACAGAGCTCTTCTCGTTTCGGGCGTAATTAATCCGCTCGTAGCCGGAGGCGTAGCTGTCGGTACGTCATAAATTCGACGCTTTGCTAAACATTGGTGATGAAACCGAGATTGGGGGGCCAGCTTTGCCAACCGGATCTCGCCCCTATACTTTGCGCGGTTACTTCATAATTTCGATCGAAATTTCTTCAATTCGGTGTGGTAAATGCGAATATATATCTGATACACTGGTAAACTCACCCAATCGAGATCTTTGTCCTCGGAATCCGGTGGCGAGGCGATCTCTGGAACTCTGTCCAACAGCTTGAATATCCTTCCGGCCGAGATCTTGGCGGTATTGAAATTGGGCGCAAAGGCGAGCGCCTGGCCCAACATCCAAGAGCCGAAGATCAACGCCTCCGACACTTTGATCACGTCCTGATAATTCAACCCCTCGGTGGCCACCAAAGCGCCCCCGTAATACAGGCTCAAAGCGTAGCCGAAGAACGGCGTGGTCTGGCCGCACGAGAATACCAATCCCCTCAATCTCTGCCTGATCCTTGTCGCCTGGGCTACGTGATCCAGCTCCGAGCAGTAACGCTGAAGGAACGCCTCCTCTTTGCCGAGGCTGGCCACCGTTCGAATGTTCGAGATCGCCTCTATCGCGATCCTGGTCGCCGCCTCCATCTTCTTCTTCTCCTGCAACCCCTGCCCACTCATCACCCTCGCCTCGAAGAACACCGCGCCCAGCACCAGAGGTATCGAGACCACGGAGACGAGCGTCATCTTCCAAGTGTAGTACATGGACAATCCGATGCCCAGGACCAGGGTGGACAGGGCTTGAAGAATGGCGCCTATCCGTGTCCCGGTCGCGCCCTGCACGGCGCCCGCGTCCGACGAAAGTCTGGCGCAGAGCGCGCCCACGCTGTTCGTGTCCTCGTCGTACCAGCCCATCTCCTGCTTCAGCATCGCGGCGAACGTTATCTTTCTGATCCTCGTGGTCATTCGCACCCCCGCCAACCCGAACATGTACATTTGTAGGAAGGTGCCGAGGCCGGTCACCACCCCGACCACCAGAAACAGGATGGAGAAGTTGACGGTTTCCCGCCGCACTTCCTCGTCGTCTTGAAGCCCCAACACGTAGTACACCTCGCCGAAGAGGACGGCGAACGCGGGGAACGAGGCGCCCACCATCGCCGCCGCCAGACATCCTGTCGAACGTAAATTTTTTTTTTTTTTTTCCGTCGACGAAATTGCGCGCCATCTCGGGGGGAGAGGATTTTATCGCGCGATCGACGAAGCGGCGAACGATCGAGCGATAAAATCGGCGCGCGAATTCAGCGACGCGATCGTTACCGATGATATTGTACGGCCATTCCGGTTTATTGAGCCCGAATATCCTCATCATGGGCGCGTCGTACGGTTTCTCGTGCTCCTCCAATTGATTCGCCGAGGTCTCGGATGCGCCGGCCAACGACAATCGATGGGAGTGCATCGACAGGGTGGAGAATTGCCTCTTCAACGGTGGCTTCTGCTTCGGTATAGCCGCGGTCACCGTCTTCGCGGCTGAGGCAGTCGCCTTCGCTGAAAATTCGATCCAACGTTTGTGTCCCTTGTCTTTCGAAGGAACGAGCGAGGAGAGGGAGAACAATTTTAAACTCAAATCTAATCTCGAGGAGAGATTCTCTTCTTTCTTTTTCAATTTCCCTTCGAATTTCTACTCTTCTCTTAGGGGGAGAGACTTTGTACGCTCGGATCCGAGCGCAAGATTAATTACCTCTGGCGGTGGCGCTGGCGTCGGCCGACACCAATCCGTAATAATGCTTGCCAAGGCCAACAATTCCTCGTGGGTACCCTGCTCCACCACCTGGCCGTCCTTTATAAACACTATCCTATCGGCGTTCGTGATGGTGGACAATCTGTGAGTGACGACTATCGTCGTCCTTCCCTTCGAGGCAGCGTCCAAAGCTCTCTGCACGGTGGCCTCGCTGTGAAGATCCAACGCGGAGGTGGCCTCGTCCAGCAGAAGTATGGCCGGCCGTCTGACCAGGGCGCGAGCGATCGCGATCCTCTGCTTTTGCCCGCCCGACATTTGCGACCCCCTCTCACCCACCGGGCTGTCGTACGCCTGGAACATAAAGCTCTCGATTCAACGACCATCGACGACCACGCTCCCTCCTCCCTCCCTTATTACGGCCCAATGTTAATCCTCCTGGCGAGCGTTCCGATTTTAATCGGAAGGGGGCGATCCTCGACCGGTCGGAGGAATTTAATGGAAATCGAAGGAGCGCGATTTTCGGTCACGTTTCCGGCGATAATTATTGGAAGGGAGGGCGAGTGGTGGTCCGCGACCCATTTGCCCGTTCGATTACCGTGCTCTCGTGGAACAGGCCATCGCGCGGTCTCTGCGGTTTGAAACAACGATTATTTCATTAACGGAAGAGTACGACGTGACGCGCCGCGTAGAGAGATTTAATAAATTTACGAGGCGCACCACTTTGCCGCCCGTAACACGCGTATACGTATCCTCGTGCTTCTCCGAAATCGCGATTCTTCTCTCTCGCTTCTCTCAACGTGACGAACTTTCCGAGTTTCTATAAGATAATGAAAAAATCCAACCTCCCGTGTATCTTTCCGATTTTTCCGTGTAATTCCGATTTTTTCGTCCGCGTTGTATCATTCGGACGCGTATTACACGCACACGATACCTTCCCCCCCTCCCTCGTTCGTTTTCGCCGGATAAAATTTCCCGTGCACGATCGCGGCGCATCGATCCGTAAAATAAACTTGCACGGCGCCTCCCTCCCCCCCCCATAAACTGGAAAATGTCTGGTCCACTTGTTCCCGCGGATCGTTACGCGTCCTAAACGCGTCGCGGGGGATGCGAAAACCGTCGAATTCGATAATTCGTCTAATCGGTGGACGCGTAATCTGGAATACTGTTATTTGCCCCGAGCGCGAGGCTTAAACGGGTGTTTTATCGTCTGTTTGCACGCGTGCTCCGGTAGTCCTCGCACCTGAGACTATTGTTAACGCGGCCAGCTGGATATCCAAACACCGGTCAACACCGTGTATTGCAAATCCTTGCGAGACAACCTTCGTCGAAATCGAGATTATCCGTGAATAATTAACGACAAACATCGAAATCCGCGTGTCATCGACTCTACCCCCCCCCCTCCCCCCGTTGAAAAGTGGCCGAGAAGGCAGCGGACGGATCGAAAGTCGACGAGATTCCGATCCGAAACGGGAAGAAGAAAGAGTCTCGCTCGGAAGCCACTCACCTCGGGCAGTTTGCTGATGAAGTCGTGGGCATTCGCTTCCTTCGCCGCTTTGATCATCTCCTCCTCGGTGATGCTGTCATTTCCGTACCGGATATTCTCCCGTATCGTCGTGTCAAAGAGCACAGGCTCCTGCCCGACCACGCCTATGTGCGAGCGTAGCCACTGCACGTTCAGCTTCGACACGTCCACGCCGTCCAGCAGAACCTGTTCCAGAACAAAAAACCAATAAGAATCTCTCTTTTCCCCGAAAGGGAAAAAAGTAATAAGAAGGGATCGTTTGGTGGAGCGTTAGGCGGAAGAATTTGCCGACAATGGTGGACAATTTCGTGAATGGAAGGTTGCTCGAAATCAGTATACGGCGTGATATTTTCAACGGGGGAGGCCGTGAAACGGCGATGGATGCTGAAAACCACTAAAACTTTTACTACTTGGAAAACTGTGGTGGTGCGCCGCCACTGTTTTCCACCCCCCTCCCCTCGCGTGGAAACGCTTCAAACTTGTTCCGTAAAATTCCTATTGCCCCGCGCACATTCGCGAATACAAATGTAATAATGGGATATTCACCACGATCCGGATATATATATATATTTAACCTGCGAGCGCAATAAATAATTTCCACTTTCTAGAATTTAATCCTACGAATTTCACCTACGAAAGTATATTATTCCTTTACGTAAAATTTTCGCTCGAAACTAGAACTAAATGTCGGGCGGGGAGAGAATCGGTGCGAAGAAAATTGGCGATATTGGAAAGAAAGATAAAGGAGAACTCGAAAAATTACAATTTCGACGAGCAATTTCGAGTCTAATAAGGAAGGGAAAAAGAAAATCTGTTCTTGCGTTTTAATAAATTTACTCTCTTCCTCTCCTCGGCCAGAGATGAACAAATTGGAAACGCGAGATTTCGCGGAATGGAAGATTATATAATGAACGCGAGATTAAATTGCACGATTTAATACAAGAATTATCGTTATTATCGTTTAATTGCGATACAGAAACGAAGCTACCGGGCTCGTTATAATTTTTCGTAATCAACAACAGCTCTCGGTTTAAAGCAACGTTACGATAATTTAATTCCACCTAAAGTTGGATAACAATTCATCGAAGAGAAGATTGAAAGATTTATTTATCACGATTCTTCTTCTTTTCGCTCACCTGTCCCTTGTGAGGATCGTAGAGTCGTTGGATCAACTGGAGGCAAGTGGACTTGCCGCAGCCAGATCCTCCGACGAGGGCGACGGTCTCGCCCCGATTGATGGTCAGGTTCAATCCCTGCAACACCTTCACGTCCTTTCTAGCCGGATACTGGAAGTGCACGTTCTTGAACTCGATCTCCCCGTTCACGGCGGGAAGCTTCTGCCCCTCCTTGCTCAAACTGTCGATCGTGGGCACGCGGTCGAGCACCTGGAAAATGGCCGCGGCCGAGCCTCGCGCCACGGCGAACGCCTCGAGATGAGGGGAGGTGAGGCCCATGTTCTGGGCACCGGCCAACACGCCGAAGAACACGATCACCAGCACCGCGGGCGTGTACTCCTTCATCTCCTTTGGCCTGTCCTCCAGGATCAACTGGACGCCGTACCTGACGATAACCGTGGGATCGATCGATTACTCCCAACGAGAGAGAAGAGAAAAAAGAATTTGGGAGAGGAAAAGGATCGTTTTATATCGAATTGAAGTATCCCTCGGCAAACAAAGGAAACAACTTTTTTACTCGTGACGCAACGCGAGGAATTATACTCCCCCTGACCCGTTTCTCGTGCCTTCCTGCACTCGGGGAGGGAAACGAAAAAGCGTTGCAACGTATATACGTATGTATACGGCTTGGAAAGCTGCAAACTTACCAAAACGCGATGGCGTAACTGATGTATATGATGAACCACATAACTCCGCCACCAACGCCCGACCACATACCGCGCTTGATCCCGGTCTTTTCCGCGGGTATCAACTTCTCCGCGTATCTGTTCACTTCCTTCTGCTCCCCGTTGAACGCGATCACGGTCCTGATGGCGCCCAACACCTCCTCGGCCACGTTCCCCGCCTGGCCGTACGCGTTCAACTCCTGGGCCGTCAACGAGCTCTGAACTTTGGCCACTACGGCGGTCGCGATCACGATGATGGGCGCGCAACTCAGCACGACCAGGGTCAACTTCCAACCGTAGACGAACGATATGATGATGGAGGAGATGAAGGAGACCATCAGGTAGGTGAACACGCCCAGCTTCTCCCCTATACCGTCCTTCATCTTGTCCAAGTCCCTGAAACGAGGCAAATTATTATTATATAATTGTGAACGAATGAGATGCGACGCGCAAAATTTCAAACTTTTGCCCACGCTTGTCGCGACATTGGGTCGAGCAAGGCGTAGTAGTAATTAGACACGTTTATATCGTGTCTCGGAAGTAACGTTGACCGACGAGGACGAAAATAACCAGCGGGCAGCCATTCAGCGAATTAATTAAAGTTCGGCTTATCTTCCCGGTCACCTTGAAAACGAGATCTCGAAATTTGTATACTCTACGAGTATACCTATTTACCTGGAAATTAATTATAAGAGTAGAGTGATCGTCGTTCGATCAAGCGCTGAAATTAGAACAATCTATTTGGGACGTTGCGCTTTTCGGTGTAAAGTTCGTAAATGTCAAGGTGAGCCGTCGTCGTTCGTGCATCTAACTGTTCTCGTGTCGTCAGACGTCGCTCTCTCTCTCTCTCTCTCTCTCTCTCTACGAAATCCGGTAAAATCGTTCTGGCGCCACGTTACGACACTTCCGGGTGCAATTAGCGTACAATAATACGCGCGCTGGTGGGTGTCGTACCAACTCCCGAGACCGAGATCGATAAATTTGTTAGAACAATGTCGCTTCGTCGTGAAATAACGTTTTCCGAGCGATAACGCGGTGTTTGACGTGCGATTACACTTGCGAGATATAAAACGATCAACGACGAATTCGCGTGACAGAGCAGCCGTTGTGCAATTTTACGAATACGAAACGATAGAAATCGAAAGATTCGTTTTAATTAAAATTAAAATTGTAATTGTAATTCGCGAGGATGGCGAAACGAGGCAAAAAAACGCCGGTTGATCTTCGATCGATCCATGTATCTCGTATCGCAACATTTATTGTCTGCGTGATGATCAAAGATAGCGCGACTCACGTCGATCTCTAACGCGGCGCGTCTGCATCTTGAACGAGAAGGAGAAAAAAATGTAAAAGATACGCGTCGAAATTTCCCATTCGAGATTCCAACCTCGAGTGTCGCAATTATCACATGCGCCATTGTTGTTCGAAGATTCTCGCCTCGAAATAAATAAAATTGCGCAACAAAACGATTTCGTCGTCGCGCCGCCGATTTAATTGGCCCCTGTTATTGATCCATCCTTGACTTTTCGATAATTACGCGGACTGCAACGCGTCTGCAAACGCAGAGAGAGAGAGAGAGAGAGAGAGGAGGA